GATCTGAAACTTTAATGCGCAAACTGTTTACGAACAAACATTTTAAATTAATATGTATGTCTTAATATTTTGGAATCTTCATTCAATTTTGAATTGCTTTAGTGTTGGGTTACAAACCATTAATTTTACAATGAGAATTTGGAACCACAAATTTTATATCCCCGCTCTTAGGTAAGTAACGATATAAATTATAAATAATATTAGTATGGTCAACCACCAGCTGAAAAGATTATTATTATACAGTCAGCGAATTTTGGTTTACACGGGAAATCGTACTTAACCTTAACTTCCAAAGGTAACTCTAATGCAACTCATTTTTGATCGTCCGTTATACGGAAGGGGCTAATTTTTTGGCTTATTTTGTTATTAAAGCAGTCAAGTACAGGGTGATATAATTTTGCCTTTAATTTATAAACATATTAAATACAAGATACAATTTCAAATGCGGGCTATTAAAACTAATAAAAGCAGGAGATTATTTCAATAAAGCCAGCGACTGCTGGGCCATTTTAACAATTTGACATGACTTATGAATAATGATGTAAGGCCTTCACTCTTCAACAATATTCCAAATTTAAGCTACATACCTCAAATACTGTGGGATATGCAGTGTGTCCATGATAAGCATGTCTATCATGGTGATCTCGAAAACCATATAAAATACGTAGATGGTCAAATTAGGCAAAAGTACATACTGTATAGCATTTGTTATTACAAATACAACGATATACGGTACAAAAAAAACAAAAGTTAGAATCTGTTGGTTTCAACAGGATGGTGCACCCACGCACAACGCTCTAATCGTGCGAGAATCGCAAGAATTCGCAATTTTCCAGGAAATTTGTTCGATAGTTTTAAGTCCTAAACAAAACCAGTCACTTCCAAGAAAGGTACTTTCGTGGAATTTGCTGCTACGCTAAAAATGGCCAATTACCACCCGAAGTACTCGGAGGTCAAGCTGGCGAAAGGCAACCTAGAGAGACAAAATCTTCGCGGTTCGAGAAGAGGCACGTGATTTCATTACCGGTCACTATTACGAGACAAGAACATGTGCGTGGTTACGTGCGAGAGAGATTCAACCAAGCTATGGCTAAAGTTCCGAAGCTGCGCCCTTTGAAAAATGCCGAAGAACGGGCGAAAGTGATAGACAGAAACCGAACACCATCTTTAGCTTGGCCCAGAAGCAAAACAAGAGGTCACCCACTCAACATCTGGCGAATCCTAAACGTGAGCGAGGTCTCAGAGTTTACCACTATGTCCACTACAGTAATAGTATTTTGCATTATTAGCCATCAGGTAAGTGAGTTTTTACTGGCGATAGGAGAAGTTGACTGGCGAGCCGTCAGGCGAGCCTGTCATCTCCTAGAGCCAGTTAAAACTATTACCTGGCGTATAATGAACAATATTTTATTTATTACTCATTTGTAAACAATAGTAAACGTAAATAATTAGTTCTTAAATTGATCTCGAAGAAATGTCTAAAATATCATGTTATCCATGTAACAGAGACTTCGCATTAATTCTGGCCAATGAAATTACTAGATTACTAACTTGTAAAATTTTTACACGTCAGCGGTCAGTTTTACAAGTCAGTAGCGTTTAAAGATGACGTTTACTCGTTTGCGTTTTGTCTTGTTAATCAACGTTTACAACTGAGTAACAAATAAAGGAATTACTATCACTTGCCAACGACAAAGGTTACTCCGCTCAGAGATGCGCTAATGATACTGCAATAATAATGCAAGGAGGACACCAAAGGAGTACGGGCTCACCAGATGATCTAAAGCTGGATCTTGTAAAATCAGCTATAGTGCCCTTTACAAGAAGAAAGAAAATAGTACCATGCAGGTACAAGGATGACGCACGAAGTGCAGTACCTGGGACGACGCTCGACTACAAATTAACTTGGAGCGTCCACCTGAATCGAACACCCACCCAATGTAACCAAGATCTGGAAACTTGAAGGCGTATCATAGACAACTCGTGGGATCTTCGCCCGTCATTTGGTCACCGAAACCGAATCACCTCGGCAACTGTATGTGACATGGCTAGACCTACCCATGGATCTCTTTCTGATAGGAGAAGCCTGAATGAGTGTATGGCATGCACCAGTAGCAACACTCAGCGCAAAGCTATGGACGCGTAAAGACACACCATCAGTTCAACAGATAAGATACTAACTCTGGAATTGAAACTATCTAACGAACGTCTGGTTTAATTGTAAAAAATTTAGATTTGGACGAAAGAACTTGGTCTGGATGGTACAGCGTGAACTCCAAAATTAGCAAATTAGCAAACATAAAAAAGTACTGTACCGGGTGACCCAATAAGACTGTTCCTCGGCGATATCTCGAGAACCGTTCGTCATATGGCGATATATTTTGAGTATTTTCAAAATGCGACCATCGCGGCCCACATCTTCTATTTGCGTTATCCGAATTGACCACGAACCATCGCCGCCAACATAGTAGGTAAATGCTTCTTGGTTACAAATCGGCATTTTAGAAAAGATTACAAATTCAAAAACTGCACTTTCTGAATGTAAACACAGCAGAATAATTTACAAATTACGGCTGTTATTATTTTACAATGCATCGTATTTCATTTGTTTAATTTTCCAAGGCGTACCTAAAAATGTAGGGTCCTTTTCCAAACAATCTTTCGCACCATCGACAAATACCGGAAATACGTCAAATAAGATACAATTTAAGCATTTTTATTAATGAATTAATTAATCTCATTTTCCCAATATTTGGGGTTAGGAACAAGATTTTGAAAAACGGTTTTCACTGGCCTCTTTGGGTGTTATTTGGCTACTTTAGAAAAAGTCATATCATTCCATTTGATTTTTTTAGGATTTTGGATCATGGTGTCAAAACTAGCGCCCTGGCGGAGAAGGATTCAACTAAATTAACTATATTCTTGTTGCCCAAGGAATGCTCTTTTCAACGATACCAAATTTGTTACACTCGTTCAAACGGTTAAGAAGTTAAAGCAGGTTATTGCAAAAACAATTGAACGCCCCACGCCAACTTTGTTTTTGGAATAACTGAGTTTTTGTTTTTAAGAAAATGATAGATAAACTGGTTCTCTTTAAAAATGTGAAACAAGAATGTTTAGTTTATTATGCGAAATTTAAAGAAATAGTAATTTTAAAATTATTTGAGATGGCAGTTACGCCCTCTAAGGTGCTTATTCAATGCCCTAAGTCATATGATGAACGGTCAAATACATTGACTTATTACAAACCCTGAGTGCGAAGAGGACGAAACTACGAGTATATACTACGTACTCTTAGAATGTAATTTAATCTATCTATTCATCGGTGGTTAAGTGAAAAACTCAAATGCGAATATTTCGAGAAAAGGGTAACTATGGTCACTAAAGTATCACAAGCTTAAATTCTTTTTGAAAAGTGTGTGGACTGGAAGGGATAAGTAACGGTAAGTACCAACGTTGTAGTAAACGTAGTATCCCATTGTGTTCACAACCCACTTGGTTTCTCGATTATGTTACCCTTGCGTGTTCGTTTAAATCATCTAATTATCAATTATCTGAAAGTAAAAGTAAACAAAGAAACTTCTCTGGTTTTGCAAATGTCGATACCATTGAAATCAAGGTGAAAACAGCGATCCTATGCAAAATGTTCAGATTTCCTTAGAGCAAATTCGATAGGTAGGTATATTAGGGAATACTATCAGATTTTGGTTTTTAATTACGTATACTCTGAAATACTCGGTGGAAGGTATTTGGATAACAAAAACTGAAGTATAACAATGTGAAAGGGTTAACCTTATAAAATACGACAGTCGCCTATTATCGTTTCGATCATACCTATTGAACATATCAGAACGTATAACTTGACTATAGGAAGTTGTACGTGATTTCCTTGAGTAAGTAATAAATCCATACAAAATTTCATAAGGTCTCCGCTAACAGACAAAGCGTATCGCCAATCAAGAGGTTTGACATTCTTTTCGTTTGTATACGAAAAGTAGGTACCTAATTAGGTATTCATCGTACCATTACGTTTTACGAAGTAGAAAATAACAAATAATAAATATGTAGGTATTCGATAATAAAGTGGTAGTTTGTAAAACAACTTTTAATTTCAGTCCCACTTTCACCTTCTTATTTTTCACGTAAAAATGTAGCGAAATATTGCTTTGTATTAACGGTGTCAAATGAAATCAAGGTTAATATCGCCCAAAAAAATAGGTTGAAGGTTTCTTAGAAACCGCTTCGATATATATAGGAACTTGAAGAGTAGTGCGGTATGAAAAAATGTAATAATTAACGTGAACTTTACAATTCTTCAAGGTTTTTACTTTTACTAGCTTGGGGCTTGGTCTATGACATCCTAAGACAGAATGTTAAGAGGGAAAGTGCCAACGTGTTGTGATGACAGAAGCGAATTAAACTTTTAAACGATTAGTATACATAATCTAGAAAGTCTATTATTGAACAGGGAGGTATTACGAAAATCGTATTTTGGTAATAATAATAATATGGTAATTTCTGTAATCGTGTTGCGGCAAGAACAATTTTCACCTAATTGTTGTTCACTATCAGATTCGATTGAAACGTATTTCATTGTATTTTATGCATAATTACCCGTACTTTACCCAAAAAATGCATTAGAAAACACTTTTGGGAACCTTTAGAAAGTACGCCATTGTCGTAAAGTTGTATAATTACGATGCGAAAATCAATAAATTTCATTGGTTTCCGTCAACAATTTCTTCGCGTATTAATAATTTGGTTGTGGTATTGAATAACCGTTCAACACGTTTAATTTACAGCTACATACCTAATCAGAAAGCTTGTCCGTTTATGTGTTAAGAGACAAAGAATTTGACATGGTACATTCGCACCCTGTGGCATATGGTACTTTTTACGGTATGAGTTATAACAAGAGATCATTCTGCACATTGTGCGAAAATTGTTCAATTAATTGAGGTAAAAATTGAAAAATTTAAAAAAAATTGAAATTTACTTACGTTAAGCTGAATGCCATATTTCAATAAACTAGAAGTACTAAATTATTTCACAATCAATCATATAACGCCGTGCGGTACCTCACTGTGCAACACTAAAGAACTCGTACTTCACTCACACGTACATGTCCACTGCACACCGTACCAACTTCAACAGGGGCAACTTTCGCTTATGCCGCCTCAAGTAACCTCCGGCTAACCGTGGTCAATCCTTTTAAAGCCGCTCTCTTCACCCTGTCTGTATGCCACTGACCCATTTTTGATAAAAATTGATTTAAATCCAAAAAATCCCAAGCCCCCACGGAACTTGATGACATTGACTGCTTTTTAATTGTCTCACGCATACCGTACGCACAGATTTAAAACCGTTTCCGCTAAGCAGTACTTACCTAATGGAAATTGTCACCTACATTTGAATGAAATTCCTAACCCTGTGACGTGAGTAATTGTTAAATTTACCAAAGAAATAAATAACCATTTTTCTGGAATCTGCAACTCTTTAAGCGCCCCCATAATGCTATGAATCATTCCACTTGCAAGTAATAGTACTATTGATTGTTGGTTCGGTTAAACACGGTCCACTTCCTGTTGTCTAGTACGCAATATATATTTTCACAACGCCCACGCGAAGATGTGGCTCAAACGTCTCTCTTTCTTACTCTTATCTGCTAGGTTTTCTGAATTTAGCTCCTGCCAACTATCGCTTTTACTGTTCTTTCCACAGTTCCTGCAGTTATTCCTTTACCCTTTCACCAGGGATACTATTCAATTTACTTTTAAGCAGGCCTTACCATCACATTTTATCATATCCGACGTTTGAGTCCAGCATCTTCGTGGCAGCCTTACCGTTATGGTAGGGGGAATGCAGCCTTCGTTGGATCCTAAACCGTCCCGTCTCCTGACCCCTTGTCGTGCTTCGCCGCTTTGAGAACAGCGGTTTCCGATTGGGAGAAGATCTCTTCGGGGAAGTCTGTTACTCCTGTTCCTAGGTTGTGGTACCGAAAACCTATGCCTCAGACACAGGCTAACGGTTCACAAGAAAGCGATGAACCTTAAAAGTCTGCGGATTACATTAGACAAGATCGTTCCAAAAACCCATGAACTTCTAGAAAGAACAGCAAGACCAGGCCCTTGCCGAGGCTATCCATTTTGGATGTCATTAATAGACTTTTCCAACGAAGCAGGCGAAGGCTGCTATCCTGGCGGCCTACAATTTCGATGATAGTAACGCGATGTTACACGTGTCAAAAATTCGGCCACAACCCTTCTTAATGTCGCAGTGATACTCAACACAGGGTGAGTCAACGATTGCGCGGAGTAACTTAATGCCTTGAAGATATGATTTTTCGATAGAGTGCTTTTGTATTGTAATATAGTTGAATATTCTCCAAATTTTAAAAATATTTGGAATTGTACAGGGTGCGCCCACAAAGTAGAGTGTCAGAATGGTACATTTTTTTAAATAGAACCCCCTGTATTTGAATGCATTTTTGAATTCTACGTGTAATTGTACGCCTTTTTTATTATATAGCTAATATCCGAAAAGCTAGTAGTTTTAAAGATAATTAGATTTTTAAGAAAAAATGGGCATTTGCAAGCGTCAGTATATTGTCAAAAGTATTACTTAAATTATGATTCCAGGTTTTATATCTTTTATCCTGGGTTAAGTAAAAGTCAAATAAATACATCTACTATGAAACATTAAAAAAAATAGGTGACAGGGTGTTTTTTTTGGTAGGTCCAAAGTTGCAAAACTTCACATTAAAAAATTTCACTTTTTTTAAATAGAACACCCTGTATATTTTTCTGCCGTTTTTTAGCTCTTCCAAAAACCTTCAACTTTTGATGAAAGAAAGATGACAGAAAAATATACAGGTTTAAAATAAGTGAGATTTTTAATATAAGTTTTGTAACTTTGGATCTACAAAAAAAGACCCTGTAAGCAATTTTTTTAATGTTTCATAGTAGATGTATTTATTTGACTTTTACTTAACCCAGGATAAAAGATATAAAACCTGGAATCAAAATTTTAATAATTTTGACAATATACTGACGCTTGCAAATGCCCAATTTTTCTTACAAATCGAATTATCTTTAAAACTACTAGTTTGTCGGATATTAACCATATAATAAAAAAGATATGTACAATTACACGTAGAATTCAAAAATGCATTCAAATACAGGGGATTCTATTTAAAAAAATGTACTATTTTGGCGCCCTACTTTGTGGCCGTACCCTGTATAATTCCAAACATTTTTAAAATATGGAGAATATTCAACTATATTACAATACAAAAGCACGCACTCTATCAAAAAATCTTATCTTCAAGGCATTAAGTTACTCCGCGCAATCGTTGACTCACCCTGTACAGCTACCCAAGATATATAAAAGCCTCCCTAAATCTTCAACAGAAGCCCTGAGGTATGAGGCTAGGAAAATAAGGGTGCTGTTATCAAATACAAGGCTTCGGTCTCTAATTATTGCTCTTGTTATTTAAAACGTGTTGATGAGGGACGAATGTTGAAAAGACGCACGTGAAGGAAAAAAAAATTAATACAACCTGGCGTCACAAAAAAGTAAATGGGGTGTGAAAGGTGGTAAATTAAATGAAAAACGTATCCACCGTATACACAAAATGTTCAAAGGAGGGGAGGAGTCTTCTTTCGGGGTGGTGATTTCCATTTGACTGTTTCAGTTTTCCCTAGGCCATGCAGCATGAATCATCCTCTGGTGGTGATTTTAACAGTACCTAGTCTATGTGTAATATCACAGACATAGTATATGTTGTCTGTGGTAATATGCCAAAAACTATCCAGAGAGAAAACGTCAGTGCTTCAAGAGACAACGTTTAACTCTGTAACGTTCTTATTCTTGTATAATACCTTCTTCATAGTATTAGGGCTTAATATTCTAAACATTTTCGACTGCCAAGTGTTACGTTTTAATTAAAAAATCAAAGAAAACTTGGGAAGCATGTTTTAATAAATTTGCCCTCAAATTACGCCGCTAAACCAACTTCTGCCTCTTGGTTCCATAGTTAAAGTTTATAGGAGACGAGTCCCCACTTCCGCAGTTAAGCCCTTCAGTTGTGTAACACCCAGAATCGTATTCGCCGTTCGCATATTATTGCTCCAGGCCATCGAAATGGGGAATGTGTGGCCAGTGTAGTAAAACTACGGCAAAAAGAACGACTTTTTCACTGTTTTTGGACTTTCCAGGCGCCATCTTGATATTTAGGGCCCAGCCATAACGCGCTGCTGGAGGTCCCCACATACTTAAATGTTAACTTGACCATATGAATGCATATTGGACGCCGACAACCGGTCAGAAAGAAAAAAAATGATGAATTTTTGCATTTTTGACGTTTTTAAGCGGAGTTTAGGCATTTACGCCCTTAATATGAATACGAAAGTGTGCCTAAACGGTGTCGTCGTGTGTACTAGATGTTATTCTACCCTTAAACTACCCAAAACGTTCAGTGGCTGCCTTGTGGGCTCGAAATAACCGAAAAAACGGCAATTTTGGCCGCCATCTTGGATTTAAGGGCTTAAATGTCAAAATCGGGTCTGGCAACAGGGCGCATCGTTTTCAGCGGAGGTAAATTAGTCTACAACCGCCTGTTGCCAGTTTGTAGCACAAAACGCCGTTGGACATGATTTAGAGAGCCTTTTTCAGAAATGTCTCCCTGACTATCAGGGATTCACTTACAATCTAGTGGAAAAATTGAACGTAGGGAATAGGAGTTTAATCTACTCCAGAACAAACTGTAATCTACCAAAGACTATTGCGACTATTGCGAGAATAGAGTACCTATATGCAATAGCATATGCAATAGCAATAATCAGTAGGTACCTATTCGGAATGACGTTACGTAGGTATCTATTTAGGCATCACTGTATGAGCGTTGAGTGAAACTGATTTCGTTATTCAATGGTATGAGTGATAGGTGATTTAGTTTTGAGCATTCTATTCACTGTTTTATAGCCGTTAATGTAGCCATTGACTGTAAAGATGAAACGAAGCCACAGGTTTTCTAGAACTTAAGAAAATGCTGTTAGCTCCTTGACATATTGAAATTTTAAGTGATTCACCACATTCCCAAACCCTTTTTTTTTAAATTAAATTCTATTGGATCAAGGTAAATGATGATGGGTAAAAGTGTGATGTGGAGAAAGGTTGGTATTTATTTAATGAAGACTACCTACCCATTTACAACTTCTTGTGCGTTTATTGACATAAGATCACTGTATGCCATGATACTGCCGTTTTACAATAGTGTCCTACTGGCTGCTGTTTGTAACGCTTGATCACGCATTTGGCATGTCTAATAAACCTCGTAGTGACCACCGGGCATGAGGAATTATGATTCTAGAACACTTAAATGTAGGTGCGGCATGGGCATTTAAAAGCGAAACTAAACGATTAATCGTTTTAGTGTTTATCTCATTAATCACAAATACGAAAGCCGTTCTTGGGTACGCACAGCCTATACTAATAATATTTTGGTTTCACATTTTAAAATTCACAAAATCATAAGGTGTACGTAGACAACGCCCAAAACTAAAAACTAAAGCGATAAGATCTAATCATATCCTAGCAGTCAAGTTTTTGTGGAAATAAAACAGGTCTAAAATTACCAAATGTTTTCAGTACCTTCTAAATATTTTTCTCCTGGAGTTTGCGGTTTGCGTCAACCCCATAGAAATTGTGTGAAGATAGGGTTCCCCTAGGACCTAGGTCAATGCTCTTCACTCTTTGTACTCAATTCGTGTGCGATATCATGTCTTTTCCACCGAGAAAAAATTAAAAATGCGAGTTCGGTAATGAACTTAGTTTATTTCTATAGATTGCGATCCTCCGTATCTTTGAACTTCGTCCGTTATGCGATGGATGCGTACCCCTATGTATCTCCTACGAGGCTTGTTCCATTGAAACCCAAATTTGGCCCAGGAAAAATTTATTGGCAAGTACTTTAAATGTTTTAAATTTAATTTAAATTTTACTCGTACGTTTACCAATGGGGGTTTACAGTAGGTATAGTTGAATTCCGTAGTTCTAATTTAATAAGCGTGTACCTGAAACCATAAAACATTTTTTTGGACAGTAAAAGTTTATTTAAAAATAGAGGCTGACTAGCAGAAAAATAATGAACATGTGCGGTTTATTCAAAACGAGATGATTGTGGCGGGC